GAAACCCAACAAATACTGCACAGGGACATTCTTTGCTCCTTCCGAAAGGCTGGGGGAATTTTAGCCCCTGTGCCAGAGCAGTCCCATGGAGTTAAACGACCAAAAGACAGGGAAATGGGGCAAAACTGTCCTCTAGTCTGCTGGGAAAAAAAAAAATCAAAAGGAATATTTTCTAATAATTCCAATTTTCTTTTGTTGCCACTGGGCGTTTGAGCCGGGGAGATGATAAAGCTGGGCAGGACCAGGCACAGCATGGGACAGGGGATTTTGGGAATGATTCACTCCCAAAGCCTCCTGCAGAGGTATTTCAGATGAAAAAAAAAAAAAAAAAAAAAAAAAAAAAAAAAAAAAAAAAAAAAAAAAAAAAAAAAAAAAAAAAAAAAAAAAAAAAAAAAAAAAAAAAAAAAAAAAAAAAAAAAAAAAAAAAAAAAAAAAAAAAGAAAAAGAATAAAAACAGCCAAAATAGATTAGTTGGGGGAGGGTTAAGAAAAAAAGATGTTTTACAAAAGTGACCCTTCCCACCAACCTCACCATTTTTCTTTTTATTAAGGGGAAAAAAAAAGGCTTTCAGCCAAAATAAATGTTTGCAATGAAAACGTGTGTTTGGGTCAAAAAGCCACTTTTCACTGAGGGGGAAAAATAAACCAACAAAAAGAAAACCCATGAAGGCTGGCAAAGATCTCAGGGAGATAGAGCTTCTTTGGAGCCAACATCTCTCTTCTCCTCTATCTCCTCTTCCACTTCTTTCTCCTTCTCCTTCCCCTTCTCCTTTCCCCTCCTTCTGTTGTCTCATCTTTTCTCTCCTCAGCATTTTTATCTTGTCTTTTCCCATCTCTTCATCTTCTCCTTCCAGGTGATGTTTCCACCTCAACACCCTTCCAGCCCCTGTGCCCCCTTCCTGCTCTGTGCCTCAGTTTCCCCACTCACACACACACGAGCACGTTCAGTAGCTGGTGCCACCCAACGTCACCTCCAGGGTACCAGGCTGGGACCTGCTGTCCCCTGCCCTAAAAGGACCCACAAACCTTCCCCCAGTGGAGATCGTTGGGTGTCAATGGACAGTGGGGGGCTGGCTGGGAGACACTGGTATTGGGACAAGGGACCTGCTGGGGACTGGGCTGGGGTGATGGGACCTGGACAAGGTACCTCACATGGACAGGTGAATGTTAACTGGCATGAGGTACCTGCTGGGAACAGGATAATGGGGGCCAAGACGAGTCACCTGATGGGGACAAAGCAAAGGGACCAGGACAAGGAACACAGTGGAGCCCAGCACGGGGAGACAGTGACCACCCCATGGTGAATCACAGAATCAGGGAATCAGCCAGGTTGGAAAAGACCTCCAAGGTCATCAAGTCCAACCCTTGATCCAACCCCGCCGTGGTTCCCAGCCCGTGGCACTGATGCCACATCCAGTCTCACCTCAAACACCTCCAGGGACAGTGACCCCAACCCTCCCTGGGCAGCCCATCCCAATGGCTGAGCACTCTCCATGGAAAAAATTCCTTTCTGATGTCCAACCCAAACCTCTCCTGGCACAGCTTGAGACCCTCTTGTCCTGCTGCTGGTTCCTGGAGAAGAGACCAACACCCACCTGGCTCCCCCCTCCTGTCAGGGAGTTGTAGAGAGTGCTGAGCCTCCTCCTCTCCAGGCTCAACACCCCCAGCTCCCTCAGCCTCTCCTCACAGCACTTGTGCTCCAGTCCCTTCCCCAGCCTCCTTGCTCTTCCCTGCACCTGCTCCAGCCCCTCCATGTCCTGTCTGAGCTGAGGGGCCCAGAGCTGGACACAGCACTCCAGGGTGGCCTCCCCAGCGCTGAGTGCAGGGGAACATCTCCCAGTCTCAGTGGTGGGTGAGGACGGGGGTCCCCACCCCGCTCACCCCCAGCCCGCGGCGGTGCCGGGCGGGTCCCGCGGGGCTGGGAGCGCCGGGAGCTGCCGGCTCAATGCCGGGGCCTCGCTCCCACGAGCGGATGAAAGGCTCCCTGTCCAAACGGCATTAGACGCGCTGCGAAGGCTCATTCCCGATCGGTCACGCTCCGAGGCGCAGCTGCAAAACCCCCTCCGGGAGCCCGGGATGCGCCGGGGGCTTTGTTCGGAGCAGCCCCGCTTCCCGGGGAACCGTGACAAGACGATGGGATTACGGGGCAGGAGAAATAAAATAAAATAAAAATCAAGCTCGGCTTGAGCTGCGCTGGCTGGGCGGAAAAACAAAGGGGACTCTCGAATTCCCCCGTGCTCCTGCCGGGAATGATGGCCCCACTGCGTTCGGGGAAGGGGCACAGAGAGGGCTTGAGGGTCCCCAAAGAGGGAGAACGGATTTTTGGCGGTGTTCCCCCCCGTTTCTGCTCCCAAATTCTAGCACTGAGTGAGCAAGGAAAAGGAGGAAAAACTCACAAGGAAGTAGACCTTATGAGGAGGGAAAACTTTGTGGGGAAGGAAACTTCAAAAGGAGGAAAGCCTTGCAAGGAGGAAACCTCCAAGAAGGAAAATCTTACAAGGAAGAAAACTTTACATGGAAGAAAACCTTTGGATGCAGGGAAATCTCACAAAGAAGGAAAACCTTGCAAGAAGATAAAACCTTGCAAGGAGGAAAGCCTTGGGCAAGGAAGGAAATCTTGCAAGGAGGAAAATACTTGAAAGGGAAAAACCCTGAAAGGAAGTAAAACTTTGCAAGCAGGAGAAATCTTGCCAAGAAGGAAACCTTGCAAGGAAGAAATCCTTCCAAGGAAGGAAACCTCACCAGGAGGAAAACCGCACATGCAGGAAAAATGGAGGATGTAGGAAAAACCTCGTATGGAGGAAAAACAAGGAGGAAAACCTTTGATTAGGAAGGAAATCCTGCAAGGAGGAAAACTTTGGAAGGAGAAAAACCCTGTGAGGAAGGAAACGCTGCAAGGAGGAAAAACCTTGAAGGAGGAAAAACCTTGCAAGGAAGGAAACCTCTGAAGGAGGAGATTCTTGGAAGGGAGCAGGTTGAAGGGAGTGGTTCTGCACCTTCCTCCCTCCCGGCACAGAGCCCGGCACGGTTTGGCCGAGGTTAATTGGGTTAGCGCAGCTAAAGGGCGTAGCTTGTCCCGGCGCCTGCTCCCTAATGAGCATCTCATTTGAATCTATGCAAAATAGCAGGGAGCATGGAGACATGCTAATTAAAGCGATTGCTGTTCGCTAATTAAGCAGCAATTTCCCTGCCCGACAGGCTATTCTCATGCAAATGGCGCCCGAGGAGGGGAAAAATCACCCCAAAAATTGTGCAGGGAGGAATCTCAATTTGGCACCGCCCCACATCTATGGAGCACCTTTGTTATAATCCTCATTTTGTGTATTTTTACCCCAAAAAAGCAGACTTGGTCTCTTCTGTGCTGAGAGTGATCCTCAAGCCCTCGGCCTTTCCAGTGGCTGCCACAAATTGAGTGATTTAACACTTGGGCTGAGCCAACCCTTACTTTGATTCATTTTAGGGTGTTTTCTTCAGATTACAGGATTTCTAATCCACCAAGGATTTTTCTACTCTTCGTTTTCTTTTTTTTTTTTTTTTTACCCTTTCACACTTGTGGAAATAATGACGTCCTGCAGGAAACCTGCTGAGGGATAAAATTAGGGCTGGTAAACACAGGGTAGTGCAGTGTATTGGTCTTGCAGGTTTGTCCAAAAACCAAGAGATTTTGTTCCAAGTCTGTTTCTTTTTAAGCCTATTTCTCCTTTATTTTTAAACACAGGAACTGTATTTCTTTGCAGCCTGCTCTGTGTGTCGCTGAAGCCTTTCCAGGCAAAACCCTCCTCAGGATAAATCCCTTTCCAGCCACCACATGTGCATGCGACCAAAATATAGCAAATTCTCCCCCTTCCTCCCCCAAAAAGGCATGTTGGTCATATTTTGGGTGTATTGGGGGCCTTTTGGAAGGCCCACATGCACAGGTGTGTGCTTGCACAGCTGCCAGGGGCTCAGTGGTCCATAGGGAAATTCTCCTCCAGAAGCCATTTGCTTCACCTTGGGCTCTTGGGCTGTGCTGGACACCCGCGGAGCACCCTGAGGTTGCTTCTCTCCATATTTCCAATCCCAACCTCCATGTTCTCTGTGTCTGTGGAAATGTCTTGCTTAAAACACAGGGAATTGGGGCTTGGAGCAACACAGTCTAGTGGAAGGTGTCCCTGCACACGGCAGAGGGGTTGGACCTGCACAATCTTTCTGGTCCCTTCCAACCCAACCCATTCTGGGATTCCACAACGGAGACACCCGCTTTTGATGGGATGACCTCCCCCACCGTGCAAAAACCAGCTCAGTTTTCCACCTGAATCCCAGTCAGCTGGCCAGGAGCCGCATCAGGGATCTCCCTTTATCCCAGGGCTGGCTGCGGGGCCGGGTGGGTCCACGGTCGCAGTGCTGCAGAGGAGCACGCACTGTCTGCAGGAGACAGGGCCGTGGGGTGCAGGGCGGCGTGGGCACCTGCTCCCGGGGGCGCCTGGACCACACGTTCCCTGTCCCGTATGTTCCCACTCCTGGTTTGTTCGTGTGCCCGATCCTGCCGTCCCGCGTGTTCCCGATTTGTCCTGGTGCCCTGCCCTGCGTGCTCCCGACCCCGCGTGTTCCCGGTCCCGGTTTGTTCGGGTGCCCCGTCCTGCGTGTTCTCAGTCCCGCGCATTCCCGACCCCGCGTGTTCCCGGTCCCGGTTTGTCCAGGTGCCCTGTCCCGCGTGTCCCCGGTCCCGCGTGTCCCCAGTGCCGGTGCCGGGACCCCGCACGCACGTGCACCCCCGCCCCGCTCCCCTTAAAGGGCCCGCACCGCCGCTCCCGCCGCCCTCTCCCCCCCTCCCCAGCGCGGTGGGCCCGCCCGCCGGGGCACCGGCGCTTGCTCCCCCCCCTCGGCCCGGCGGTGGTTCGCTCCGCGGGGCGGGGCGCGGCGGCGGCGCCTCCCCCGACACGGGGCGCCGGTGGGAGCGGGGCGGGGAGGGCGGCGGGCAGGGGGGAGATAAGCGGCGCCGGGCGGCCGGGCGGCGCTGGATGGAGGCTCCTGCCCGCCGGGACGCCCGCCCCAGCCTGGAATGTCCTGGCGAGCCGCCGCCGCCGGCGAGCGGGACCGGCACCGGCAGGACCGGGACCAGGGAGGGGGCGCGGCGCAGAGGTAACGAGCGCGCGCGCTTCCCGCCGCCGGCGCGCGACCGAGGGGGGGGGGGGGCGCGCGGCCGCTCCGGGATGGGCTCCGTGAGGGGATCCAAGAGGGGATCCAGGAGGGGATCCAAGAGGGGATCCGGGAGGGGATCCAAGAGGGGCTCCCGGGGCTCCCCCGGCGCGGCCGCAGGTGCTGGCTCCTGTCAGCCCCCGGTGCCGAGCAGCGCTGCCCGGTGCCGAGCCCGCTCCGCCGAGCGGGGCGAGCCCCCCGAGCCGCCGCCGCGCTCTGATTTACGGTCTCGTTTCTCTCCTTGAAGGAGGTGCCGCGGAAAGGTTGGGTTTGGGGTCGCGTCCAGCCTTCTTGACCGCCTTAAGATTGCTAGCTTCGGTGCTTTTAACCTGTAAGGTCACTTTTCTCCGCAATTAGGGCGGTGGAAGGTCGGTCCCTGAGGCGGGAGGTGGTGTGTGATGCCTGAGGACTCCGACTGTAAAGCATTCTGGCATCTTATCTCTAATTATTACCATTATTGCGTTAAACTGCCTCCATCCTTATAGCCACACGATTCTTGAATTTTAAATGACTTTCCCGTGCTTTGTCTGTCTTTTTGCCAAAAAAAAAAAAATATAAATTATACAGTTCCTGACTTCTCATGGAAGAACTTTCCAGCCGTCTATCCCATACTTTCAGTACTGATGTTTTTTAAACCAAAAGAGACGTGTTTTTCGCTGCTGGGCAGAAAACAGGCGATGTTTATTTTGCCCCCGCCTTGCAACTGTGTAAAGGATTGGTGAAGGGGGTAAGTTGATGGCTTAATGTAGCTCTTTCTTTTTAATTATTATTTTACTGCTTTCCCCCACTGTTTTGCTGCCCCTGGGAAGGAGTAGCTGTGCTGAGCCTGGGGCTGTAAAGCTGTCAGCTCTTGAGGGGCTGTTTACTCAGCGAGCTCTATCTTTCACACATGCACCAGAAACACAGTTTACTAACCCAAACACCAGCCAAGGTTACCCAAGAGCACGGAAACTTCGGTTCTCCGGGGTTTTATCCTCCGTGGCCCGGCATTTGCTTCGAACAAAGCAGGTAATCCTGGGGTGCTGGCGCTCCCAGCCGAGCTGCCTGGAGCCCGGCGGCGTTTCTGCTCATCTCCCACGGCTTGGGAGAGTTTTGACAGTTGCGATTTATGGGATGTACAGGAGGAAAAAGTGCTTTTGTGGTGGTGGTTGCTGAGGGCGACAACCCGCTCCTTCTGTGTTACAAAAATTCGCGGTGAGCGATTTCCCGGCACGGTTTTCTTGATGCTTTTCTGTTAAACTTGATATTATTTGCCCTAATTACACCCAGCGTGCTTTTGTTCCCCCGAATTGAAACGGGCGGCGAGCGCCGCGTGTGAGTCAAGCACATCCAAACCAAACCCTGCTCTTTCGAAGCAGTTGTAAGCCTGTCTTGTGGGGAGGGCTTGGTAAGGGAGTGATTAGAAAGAAATAAACATTTTTGTCCCCTAGTCCCCACCCTCCAAAAGAAGAGGGAAGCTTCTGCCTGGCTTGGTTCTGCATCCCAGAAAACCCACAGGTTTGTGGAGAAAGCCGTGACTTGCCCAAAGCTATTTAAAGTGGATTTACAGATAAAAGTACCAAGGTGGGATCTGCTGGGATACCTGTTGTGTTAAAAGGGATTTTTTTTTTTTTCTCTCTTCAAGGGATAGGAAGTGAGAGATGGGCTCTGGTGTGGAGGGATTAGTAACTCACCCGAGGATGAGTGTGGTGGCTTTGTCGCTTGGATTAATGTGATTTACACCCTTAAGCTGCCCCAAGTGCTCCTAAACAGCCATGCCTGTGTGTGCAAGGTGAAGTGTGGGAGGGCAAGCTCAGATAGGCTACGGGAAGCAGCTTGGAGGGTTGTTTTTTGCCATCCTTCATGCAGCATTGATGATCTTTCATCCTTTTTCTGTGGTGGGACACCAGCTCTGCGTTCTTTACCCACCAGCCCCTCAGGATGCTGGTGGTGGGGTTTGGTCCAGACCCCTCCTATGTGCTCCCTCCGCTGGCTTGCTGGGCTGCACTGGTGCTAAACTTTGCGTTTTTTACCCCGAAACTGAGGAGGGGGGTGAAAAAACATGCAAGGAGAGGCCTGACCGTGCTGGAGTGAGTCCCTCCAGCGCTTTCATTATCTCAAGGTGTGCTGTAAGCCCATAAACCGAGGCTCCTGCTTACTTTGGCTCGCTGGTGTGTCAGAGGAATAAGGCAGCTGTGCTCTGACTTCAGGTGATGTCACTTGAGGATTTTAACTGTCAGAGCTAAAAAATACCCTGGCTTGTTTAAAGACTGCTTCTGCAGATGTGGGAATGGGGGAGCAAGGCAGCGGATTGGCCCGTGCGAGCGCACAGCCGCTCCGGGGTCTGGCATCTCATAAATCCCCCTCTGCTGTCCCCCAGCAGACCTGCTCTGCCTGACGAGGCCTCGGGTGTGCCACCACTATGACATTAATTGGTGGCTGCTGGAGGTAAGGCACTGCCATGAAGTGAGAGACCAGCAAGGCTTCGGTGCCAAAAAACTAACTGCGAAGCATGTGACGATTAAATAATTTGGGGAATAAAGCTGCTTTCTGATGCGACGGTACAGTCAGCAGCACCTTCTCTCGCGTGGTTGTTGGTGTGACTGGGTGGGTGCAGGATGAGCTGCTGTGATTTTGGGTTGTTTGCAGGGCTGGGTGTGAGGAGCTGTGGGTGCTGAGCTGGTCTCTGAGTGTTTGTACATGCACGTGTGTCTGTCTTTGCTGCACAACAAGCTTTATGGAAAAGGTTTATGCGGGTTGTGTGAGCTGTTTCTAATTCTGTATGAGACAAGACGTTGAACTTCACATGGGTTTCCTGTATCTCCCACTAAACCTGCTTTTCACACCTTCTCCAAGAGTTCCTTTACCTCTTCTCATTTTGCCAGGCCTTTCAGCCTGTGCTGGAAAACCTCCTGCTGTGCATCTTCCTCATTCCCGTGCCCACAGATGTGACTCTCGAGGGGTTTCATTGCTATGCTCTGGTCTTGGCACACAGTCTTAACCAAAACAACATGGAAATGTGGTGAACCTGCTGCTGAACCTGGCTCCACGAGGCTTTGAAACCTTTGGTTTAGTACCAGAAGCCCCGAGAATTGAGCGAGGCTTCACCCCCAAAACTGCTGGGATTGGGTTATCTCAGGTAATGTTTTCTAAGGAGTCACTTTAAATCGGCATCTCGGAAATGTACAGAACGAGGTTTGTTTGGCAACACTTTATTTGTTTATAAATATAAATTACTTGATACTGTAAACTTGACCCGTGTGTGTAGAGTCAGGTTTTTGTCTCCTACTTTGCTTGTGATTTACTGACTAGTGAGGGGCTCCCTTGAGCCAAGTCCTGTCCCTTCCTCACTGCAGCGGTTTGCTGTCAGTTCTCTGGTTTTTGGTGTTTCAGTGAGCTGAGGAGCTTCAGAGCCAGTTCCTGTCTGCAGCTGGGGTGATCAAAAAGCCTTGTGTCAAATTTCCTCTTTAAATGGGAATTTGCAGCTTGCCCTGCAGTTCTGACTCTTAGACTGGTACATGGGCAACAAACTGGGTTGTCTGTCCACTGTTTTTGCTATTTTGAGCTATTTCGTTAACTGGTGAGCTGATACTCAGTCTGTTCTTCGGGCATTTTTCTTTCTCTGCTCACTTTCTGCTCTCCTGGAGGCCTCCCTGAGCAAACCCTGCTATTGTGTGTCCCTTTCTCCTGCATCGTTTGCTCTGGGATGGTGTTTGTCCTTGGCAAAGTAACCAAAAACCTCTTTGCTGTATTACTTTGGCTGGCAAGAGGGCTCCAGCTACCCTGGCCCAAGAATTTCTAGACAAGATAGTTCTCTGTGTATATATATATATATATATATAAACTTTTTTTCCAGTTGAGTGTTCTTCCAGTAATTTTCTTGGTAGATGGCTCAGTAAAACTTCCAGGGCTGAGTGTGTCAGAGTTTTCCACTCACTTTCCCCAGCTCACTTTTCCCTTTCCGGTGGGGATGATGATTCTCCAGTGACAGTGATCACTTTAGGGGAAATGCTTGTTCAGCCCTGTGAGGGATTGAGCCTTGTGCATCGAGACCACCTGCCTTTCCCATTAAGCCCCTGCTTGCTCTTTCTGTGCATGAAATATCTGCTGTCTTTCAACAGGAGGGAAAACAATCATGTAAGGTGGGTTGTTTTCCCATTTCCCATACCTGTGAGATGTCTTGAAGCTCTTCTAGCCAGGTGGGATTCTGGGTTTTTTTATTTTTTTTTTCCCTTTTTTCCCCCCTCCCCAGCTCCTTGGGCGCAGTTTCACGTTACAGCTCCACTGCTGCAGGAGGTGGCAGGTACATTCCTGCCTCTTCCCCACTGTGGGAATCCAGCAGTGGAGCAGCCGCAGGGGAGTGACTCCAGCTAACCTTCAAAAAAAAAAATACCCAAGCCCCAAACTTTCCTGGATCTTGCCCCGCAGTTAGAGTTGTTAAATCTTCCACTCGGGTGACTGGGGAGGCCCTGGGGGGGCTGGGAGTGGGGGGGAAATGGCCCCTTTTGGCAGCAGCGGCTTTTGAATTGGCTTTGCTGTCTTCTAAACCTGCTTGCTCTTCTGCCGAGCCGAGGGGCCAGGTGCCCTCCACCTCCTGCCTCTGGAAATGCCCAGCTGAACCAGTTCAGCTCGTGGAAACGGCAGGGGAAAAGGATCAAATCGTCCCCCCAAGCCTGGAGCGAGCGAGGCTGGGATGTGCCTCGGGAGGGAGCTGGGGCGGGGAGCCGGGCAAGGAGACCATCCCTCTGGCAGGGGCCGGCACTCCAGGAGGCTGAGCTGAAAGGTGAAACCGCACCCTCGGCCTCACCTGTCTGCCTGATCGTGCCTTTGATTTATACCCCGGGTTCTGCTGTGTAGCTCTCCCCGCAGACTCCAACCATTGGATCTGATAACGAACCAAGTGGTTGAGCCTTATTTGTTTAATTCAAAGAGAAGTTTAATATTTCCTACCTCGCAGCGTTCGG